GGCAACTTGGCGCCTCCCTGCTGCCTCGGATCTGCTGGCGAGGCCAGGAAGAGAAGAGCAAAGGAGGTTCCTGCTGAGCTGCCAGGGCCAGAAGCTGCCGTTCCAAGGAGAGCTGACTGAACCACCTGGGATCTGAGCTGTCACTGCAAAGAGAGCTGAGTCGACCGCTTTGAAACCATTGGAAACCATTGAAGGAGGGAAGGTTGAGGTTGGATGTGAGGGGGAAGCTCTTCCCAAGGAGAGCGGTTAGGGCCTGGAACGGGCTGCCCAGGGAGGTTGTGGATGCCCCGTCCTTGGCCGTGTTCAAGGCCAGCTTGGACGGGGTCCTGGGCAACCTGATGTGACTGTGTGTGTTTGGTGGCCCTGCTGGGCAGGGGGTTGGAACTGCGTGATCCTTGAGCTCCCTTCAACCCGGCTCATTCTGTCATCCTGTGATTCTGATTCTGTGAACCCATAGGAACCAAGAGGACCCATAGAGCCCCATAGGAACCCATAGAGCCCCATAGGAACCCATGGGAACCCATAGAACCCATAGGAACCAAGGGGACCCATAGAGCCCCATACGAACCCATAGAGCCCCATGGGAACCCATGGGAACCCATGGAACCCATAGGAACCAAGGGGACCCATAGAGCCCCATAGGAACCAAGGGGACCCATAGGAACCCAGGGGAAACCATAGAACCCATAGGAACCAAGAGGACCCATAGAGCCCCATAGGAACCCATAGAGCCCCATAGGAACCCATAGAGCCACATGGGAACCCATAGAACCCATAGGAACCAAGGGGACCCATAGAGCCCCATAGGAACCCATAGGAACCCATAGGAACCCATAGGAACCCATAGGAACCCATGGGAACCCATAGAACCCATAGGAACCAAGGGGACCCATAGAGCCCCATAGGAACCAAGGGGACCCATAGGAACCCATAGGAACCAAGGGGACCCATAGAGCCCCATAGGAACCCATAGAGCCCCATAGGAACCCATGGGAACCCATAGAACCCATAGGAACCAAGGGGACCCATAGAGCCCCATAGGAAACAAGGGGACCCATAGAAACCCATAGGAACCCATAGGAACCCATAGGAACCCATAGGAACCCATAGGAACCCATGGGAAGCCATAGAACCCATAGGAACCAAGGGGACCCATAGAGCCCCATAGGAACCCACAGAGCCCCATGGGAACCCATAGAACCCATAGGAACCAAGGGGACCCATAGGAACCCATGGGAACCAAGGGGACCCATAGGAACCCATGGGAACCCATAGAACCCATACGAACCAAGGGGACCCATAGGAACCCATAGGAACCCATAGGAACCCATAGGAACCCACAGAGCCCCATAGGAACCCATAGGAACCCACAGAGCCCCATAGGAACCAAGGGGACCCATAGGAACCCATAGGAACCCATAGGATCCAAGAGGACCCATAGAGCCCCATAGGAACCCATAGAGCCCCATAGGAACCCATGGGAACCCATAGAACCCATAGGAACCAAGGGGACCCATAGAGCCCCATAGGAACCAAGGGGACCCATAGGAACCCATAGAACCCATAGGAACCAAGGGGACCCATAGAGGCCCCTAGGAACCCATAGAGCCCCATAGGAACCCATAGGAATCCACAGAGCCCCATAGGAACCCATGGGAACCCATAGAACCCATAGGAACCAAGGGGACCCATAGAAACCCATGGGAACCCATAGAACCCATAGGAAACAAGGGGACCCATAGGAACCCATGGGAACCCATAGAACCCATAGGAACCCATAGGAACCCACAGAGCCCCATAGGAACCCATAGGAACCCACAGAGCCCCATAGGAACCAAGGGGACCCATAGGAACCCATGGGAACCCATAGAACCCATAGGAACCAAGGGGACCCATAGAGCCCCATAGGAACCCACAGAGCCCCATGGGAACCCATAGAACCCATAGGAACCAAGGGGACCCATAGGAACCCATAGGAACCCATAGAACCCATAGGAACCAAGGGGACCCATAGGAACCCATAGGAACCCATAGGAACCCACAGAGCCCCATAGGAACCCATAGGAACCCACAGAGCCCCATAGGAACCAAGGGGACCCATAGGAACCCATAGGAACCCATAGGATCCAAGAGGACCCATAGAGCCCCATAGGAACCCATAGAGCCCCATAGGAACCCATGGGAACCCATAGAACCCATAGGAACCAAGGGGACCCATAGAGCCCCATAGGAACCAAGGGGACCCATAGGAACCCATAGAACCCATAGGAATCAAGGGGACCCATAGAGGCCCCTAGGAACCCATAGAGCCCCATAGGAACCCATAGGAACCCACAGAGCCCCATAGGAACCCATGGGAACCCATAGAACCCATAGGAACCAAGGGGACCCATAGGAACCCATGGGAACCCATAGAACCCATAGGAACCAAGGGGACCCATAGGAACCCATGGGAACCCATAGAACCCATAGGAACCAAGGGGACCCATAGGAACCCATGGGAACCCATAGAACCCATAGGAAACAAGGGGACCCATAGGAACCCATGGGAACCCATAGGAACCCATAGGAACCCATAGGAACCCACAGAGCCCCATAGGAACCCATGGGAACCCACAGAGCCCCATAGGAACCAAGGGGACCCATAGGAACCCATGGGAACCCATAGAACCCATAGGAACCAAGGGGACCCATAGAGCCCCATAGGAACCCACAGAGCCCCATGGGAACCCATAGAACCCATAGGAACCAAGGGGACCCATAGGAACCCATAGGAACCCATAGAACCCATAGGAACCAAGGGGACCCATAGGAACCCATAGGAACCCATAGGAACCCACAGAGCCCCATAGGAACCCATAGGAACCCACAGAGCCCCATAGGAACCAAGGGGACCCATAGGAACCCATAGGAACCCATAGGATCCAAGAGGACCCATAGAGCCCCATAGGAACCCATAGAGCCCCATAGGAACCCATGGGAACCCATAGAACCCATAGGAACCAAGGGGACCCATAGAGCCCCATAGGAAACAAGGGGACCCATAGGAACCCATAGAACCCATAGGAACCAAGGGGACCCATAGAGGCCCCTAGGAACCCATAGAGCCCCATAGGAACCCATAGGAACCCACAGAGCCCCATAGGAACCCATGGGAACCCATAGAACCCATAGGTCCCTTCAACCCGGCTCATTCTGTCATCCTGTGGTTCTGTGAAGAGGGGCCATCGTCGCCATGGTCGCCCTCGTTGTTCTCGTTGTTCTTCTTGTCGTCAACAACAGAGCAACGCCCGACGACCCACCGCTGCTGAAGATCAAAGACTCAACCATGAACCTGGCTGGATGCACGGCGCTGACCACCTCCCTCTTGCCTCCTATAAAAACTCCTTGCTTCTTCTTTCCTATCTTTTCTATCGCCCCCCTTCCCTTCCCCTTTACCCTAATTCATAGTAGTGTCCGTCCTCCCCTTCCCCATTTCCCTAATTAAGATTTGTAATAAACTGCTCGGACCAACATCTGAACCGTTGTTTCTTAATCTCACACCGGGTATAGAGATAATAAAAGAACCATAGAATCCCAGAATCCCCAAGGTTGGGAAAGACCTCCAAGCTGCCCCAGTCCAGCCGTTCCCCCGTTCCCATAGGGACCTATAGGGACCCATAGGGACCCATAGAGACCCATAGGGACCTATAGGGACCCATAAGGATCCATAGAGACCCATAGAGACCCATAGAATCATAGAGACCCATAGGGACCCATAGAGACCCATAGGGACCAATAGAGACCCATAGAGACCCATAGGAACCCATAGAGACCCATAGGGACCTATAGGGACCCATAGAATCATAGAGACCCATAGAGACCCATAGAATCCTAGAATCCTAGAATCCCCAAGGTTGGGAAAGACCTCCAAGCTCCCCCAGTCCAACCGTTCCCCCGTTCCCAGCAGCTCCCACTGAACCCCGTCCCTCAGCACAGCACCCAGCCTTGCCTTGAACACCCCCAGGCTCGGTGCCTCCCCCACCTCCCTGGGCACCCATTGCAGTGCTGCCCACCTTTCTGAACAGTGACACTTCCTCAAGGAAACCATAGGAACCCATAGAGACCCCACAGACCCCATAGAGACCCACAGGGACCCATTGAGACCCCATAGATCCCACTGGGACACATAGGAACCCATAGAGACCCATTGAGACCCCATAGACACCATAGAACCCATAGGGACCCATTGGGACCCACTGGAACCGATTGAGACCCCATAGATCCCATTGGGACACATAGGAACCCATAGAGACCCACTGAGACCCCATAGACACCATAGAACCCATAGAGACCCATTGGGACCCCATAGAACCCATTGGGACCCATTGGAACCCATTGAGATCCATTGAGACCCCATAGAACCTATTGGGACCCATAGAGACCCATTGAGACCCCATAGAACCTATTGGGACACATTGGAACCCATTGAGACCCCATAGAACCTATTGGGACCCATTGGAACCCATACAGACACCACAGACCCCATAGAGACCCACAGGGACCCATTGAGACCCAATAGAGACCCCATTGGGACCATAGAATCCTAGAATCCTAGAATCCCCAAGGTTGGGAAAGACCTCCAAGCTCCCCCAGTCCAACCGTTCCCCCGTTCCCAGCAGCTCCCACTGAACCCCGTCCCTCAGCACAGCACCCAGCCTTGCCTCTATATAGAGACCCCAGGAGGTCACTATATGGAGGCTTCAAGCTGCGGCAGGGGAGATTCAGGCTGGACGTGAGGAAGTGTCACTGTTCAGAAAGGTGGGCAGCACTGCAATGGGTGCCCAGGGAGGTGGGGGAGGCACCGAGCCTGGGGGTGTTCAAGGCAAGGCTGGGTGCTGTGCTGAGGGACGGGGTTCAGTGGGAGCTGCTGGGAACGGGGGAACGGTTGGACTGGGGCAGCTTGGAGGTCTTTCCCAACCTTGGGGATTCTGGGATTCTAGGATTCTATGGGTCCCAATGGGATCTATGGGGTCTCAATGGGTCCCTGTGGGTCTCTATGGGGTCTGTGGTGTCTGTATGGGTTCCAATGGGTCCCAATAGGTTCTATGGGGTCCCAATGGGTCCCTATGGGTTCTATGGGGTCTCAATGGGTTCCAATGGGTCCCCATAGGTTCTATGGGGCCTCAATGGGTCTCAATGGGTTCCAATGGGTCCCAATGGGTTCTATGGGGTCCCAATGGGTCCCTATGGGTTCTATGGTGTCTATGGGGTCTCAATTGGTCTCTATGGGTTCCTATGTGTCCCAATGGGATCTATGGGGTCTCAATGGGTCCCTGTGGGTCTCTATGGGGTCTGTGGGGTCTCTATGGGTTCCTATGGTTTCCTTGAGGAAGTGTCACTGTTCAGAAAGGTGGGCAGCACTGCAATGGGTGCCCAGGGAGGTGGGGGAGGCACCGAGCCTGGGGGTGTTCAAGGCAAGGCTGGGTGCTGTGCTGAGGGACGGGGTTCAGTGGGAGCTGCTGGGAACGGGGGAACGGTTGGACTGGGGCAGCTTGGAGGTCTTTCCCAACCTTGGGGATTCTAGGATTCTAGGATTCTATGGGTCTCTATGGGTCCCTATGGGTCCCTATGATTCTATGGGTCTCTATGGGTCTCTATAGGTCTCTATGGGTCTCTATGGGTCCCTATAGGTCCCTATGGGTCTCTATGGGTCCCTATGGGTCCCTATGGGTCCCTATGGGACTCTATGGGTCTCCATTGGTCCCTATGGGTCTCTATTGGTCCCTATGGGTCTCTATGATTCTATGGGTCTCTATGGGTCTCTATGGATCCCTATGGGTCCCTATAGGTCTCTATGGGTCTCTATGGGTCCCTATGGGTCCCTATAGGTCCCTATGGGAACGGGGGGAACGATTGGACTGGGGGAGCTTGGAGGTCTTTCCCAACCTTGGGGATTCTAGGATTCTATGATTCTATGATTCTATGGGTCCCAATGGGGTCTCTATGGGGTCTCAATGGGTCCCTGTGGGTCTCTATGGGGTCTGTGGTGTCTGTATGGGTTCCAATGGGTCCCAATAGGTTCTATGGGGTCCCAATGGGTCCCTATGGGTTCTATGGGGTCTCAATGGGTTCCAATGGGTCCCCATAGGTTCTATGGGGTCTCAATGGGTCTCAATGGGTTCCTATGGGGCCCAATAGGTTCTATGGGGTCTCAATGGGTCTCAATGGGTTCCAATGGGTCCCAATGGGTTCTATGGGGTCCCAATGGGTCCCTATGGGTTCTATGGTGTCTATGGGGTCTCAATGGGTCTCTATGGGTTCCTATGTGTCCCAATGGGACCTATGGGGTCTCAATGGGTCCCTGTGGGTCTCTATGGGGTCTGTGGGGTCTGTATGGGTTCCAATGGGTCCCAATAGGTTCTATGGGTCTCAATGGGTCTCAATGGGTTCCAATGGGTCCCAATGGGTTCTATGGGGTCCCAATGGGTCCCTATGGGTTCTATGGTGTCTATGGGGTCTCAATTGGTCTCTATGGGTTCCTATGTGTCCCAATGGGATCTATGGGGTCTCAATGGGTCCCTGTGGGTCTCTATGGGGTCTGTGGGGTCTCTATGGGTTCCTATGGTTTCCTTGAGGAAGTGTCACTGTTCAGAAAGGTGGGCAGCACTGCAATGGGTGCCCAGGGAGGTGGGGGAGGCACCGAGCCTGGGGGTGTTCAAGGCAAGGCTGGGTGCTGTGCTGAGGGACGGGGTTCAGTGGGAGCTGCTGGGAACGGGGGAACGGTTGGACTGGGGCAGCTTGGAGGTCTTTCCCAACCTTGGGGATTCTATGACTCTATGGTTCTATGATCCACTGAAAAAACAAAATGCTGTTAATGGAACCTACAAGAGCCCTGCTGCTGCCCACGTGGCACCACAGCCGTGCTGTGAAAGCACCACGCACTGCACACCTTCAGTGGCGGACATGTTCTCCCATTGCAAGAATGACGACGTCCTCAGTGTCTGCGTCCCATTATCCTTACTGACAGTCTGGAAAGAGGGACTGACTGTTCCGTCAGCACGTTTGGAGATGAAACCAAGTTGGGAAGAAGTACCGATCTGCCTGAAGATAGAAAGGCCTTACAGATGGATCTGGACAGGCCAGATCAGTGGACTGAGTCTAACTGTCCTAACGTCAGTCTGACAAGAGGAAAAAGAAGAGTGTTGGTTGCTACGTTGGAGACCAGGGCTGATTTAAAGACATGCTGTGCTGAGTGCAGAGTCTGGTTTAATGACAGCAGGTACAGACAGAGCTGAGGGACTGAATGCTTTTGCTGCCTGAGTCTTTACTGAAAGGGACTCCAGCACTGAAAGGGACCTTTGCCAAGACCAAGCGTCGGGTCCTGCACTGTGGTCACAACGATCCCACGCATTCACTACGGGTTTGGGGCAGAGGAAAGCTGCAGGGAGGAAAAGGATCCGGAAATGTTAACTGACAGCCGACTGAATAGGAGGCAGTGCTGTGCCGAGTGCTCAGGAAGGCCAACGGCATCCTGGCTTCTATCAGAAACAGCGCAGTCAGCGGGACCAGGGGGACGATGTGCTCAGCACTGCTGTTGCCGCACCTCGAGCACCGCGTGCGGCTTTGAGCCCCTCGCTGCAAGAAAGGCATGGAGGCCCTGGAGGGCGTCCAGAGAAGTGCAACAAAGATGTGAAGGGTCTGGAACAGAAGTTTTACAGGGAGCAGCTGAGGGAACTGGGTTGTTTAATATGGAGGAGGCTCAGGAGGGCTGTATCGCTCCGCTCAACTGCCTGAAAGGAGGTCGTACCGAGGTGGGAGGCGCCTGTTTCCTCAGGTAACGGCGCAGAGCTGGAAGTCACGGCTTCAGTTGTGCCAGGGGAGGTTCGTGTTGGATATTAGGAAAAAACAACAACAGAAAGAGTGGAGAGGCATTGGGACGGGCTGCCCAGGGCAGCGAGAGGCCACCATTCCAGGAGGTTTCCAAGGGATGTGTAGATGTGACACTGAGCAGCGTGGCTCAGGAAGCACGGTGGTGGTTGGACCAGATCTTGGTTACCTTTTCCAACCTTAATGATTCCAAGGTTATAATACCCACAGAGCCCAGCTGCAGGCGCGGGCGGATGGGGAAGAGGCTTCCGGCGCACGGCCGCGCTCGGATGCTTTTTGACCCCGCGGAGCCGCCGTAGTCGGTTGCGCTGCGCGTACCCGGAAACTTCCGGCCGCGCTCGGATGCTTTTTGTCCCCGCGGAGCCGCCGTAGTCGGTTGCGGTGCGCGTACCCGGAAACTTCCGGCCGCGCTCGGATGCTTTTTGTCCCCGCGGAGCCGCCGTGGTGGTCGGTCGCGGTGCGCGGAGCCGTCATGGAGTCGGAGGGTCCCTCTGAGCCGGGTTTCGTCGGGATCCGCTTCTGCCAGGAGTGGTGAGAGAGGCGGGAGCGGGGCCGGGACCGAGCCCCGTTCCGGCCCCGCGCTGATTGGCGTCTCTTTAGCAACAACATGCTGTACCCCAAGGAGGACAAGGAGAGCCGTGTGCTGCTTTACGCGGTGAGGCCCCGCGGCTCGGCTTCCCCCACGGGCCCCGCACCCCCCGAGCCGCGTCCTTCAGAGCCGGGCCCGGGCCTTGACCCTCCCCGCTCCCATCTCTGCCCCCAGTGCCGCAATTGCGACTACCAGCAGGAGGCCGACAGCAGCTGCATCTACGTCAACAAGATCACGCATGAAGTGGAGTGAGTGCGGAGCCCCTCGGGACCCAGCCCCGACACCCCTTCCTCCCGATTCCAACCCACAGAGCCGTCCACTGCCATCCCCTCCTTCGTCCCCCCGACGAGGCAGCCCCTAAGGTCCTCCCCTCGATCCTCCCGCCTCGGCACATTGGCCGCCCCTGTTCTGGGTATCGGTGGAGGCTGGTGAACGGGGGGGGGCTGCAATTTCAAAAGGAAATGGTGGGGGTTGTTAACGAGGGGGTAATTAAGTGAGGAAAGTGCTTGGCAGGTGGCTCGGTAGTGAGAGGTAATAAGGCAGGCTGACTGGAGAGCAGCGAACAAAGTGGAGCAGTTCATAGTAAGGATGAGAATGGAATGATTGGGTTACTAACGGTGATCGAGGTGTAAATGGGGAGTAATTAATAAGGATCGGTAATAAGGGAAGAGGACCGGAGGGCAATTAATGGAGAAAATGAATAGGGGGTTCATTTATTCATATATTCATATATTCATTTATTCATTTATTCATATATTCATAGGCAGTTAATAAGAATCATAAAGGAACAGTTGGAATCGTAAGATTGAGGAATAAATAGAGAGTAACTGATAAGGAGAAGGCAGTAAGGTGGAACAACCCACGAGCAAATAATAAGAACATAATGAGGAAGATGCCAGGGCCGTTAACTATCTTGAGGCTCGTTAGGAGGTTGATTAACAATCTGGGTGTCTCCTCACAGTGAGCTGACGCAGATCATCGCTGATGTCTCCCAGGACCCAACGCTGCCGCGCACTGAGGACCATCCCTGCCAGAAGTGAGGAGGACTTGGGGATCCCCGGGGGGACCAGGAGCCCCTGCAGGGATGTGAGGGGCACAGAATCACAGGATGACAGAATGAGCCGGGTTGAAGGGAGCTCAAGGATCACGCAGTTCCAACCCCCTGCCCAGCAGGGCCACCAAACACACACAGTCACATCAGGTTGCCCAGGACCCCGTCCAAGCTGGCCTTGAACACGGCCAAGGACGGGGCATCCACAACCTCCCTGGGCAGCCCGTTCCAGGCCCTAACCGCTCTCCTTGGGAAGAGCTTCCCCCTCACATCCAACTGAAATCTTCCCTCCCTCAGCTTGGATGGGTTCCTATGGCTTCCTATGGGTTCCTATGGCTTCCTATGGGTTCCTGTGGGTTCCTAGGGGGCTCTGTGGGTTCCTATGGGTTCCTATGGGTTCCTATGGGACTCTGTGGGTTCCTATGGGTTCCTATGGGTTCCTATGGGGCTCTGTGGGTTCCTATGGGTTCCTATGGGTTCCTATGGGTTCCTATGGGTTCCTATGGGTTCCTATGGGTTCCTATGGGTTCCTATGGGTTCCTATTGGTTCCTATGGGTCCCCTTGGTTGCTATGGGTTTCTATGGGTCCCCTTGGTTCCTATGGGTTACTATGTGTTCCTATGGGGCTCTATGGGTTCCTATGGGTTCCTATGGGGCTCTGTGGGTTCCTATGGGTTCCTATGGGTTCCTATGGGGCTCTGTGGGTTCCTATGGGTTCCTATGGGTTCTATGGGTTCTTATGGGTTCCTATGGGTCCCCTTGGTTCCTATGGGGCTCTATGGGTCCCCTTGGTTCCTATGGGTTACTATGTGTTCCTATGGGGCTCTGTGGGTTCCTATGGGTTCCTATGGGTTCCTATGGTTTCCTATGGGTTCCTATGGGGCTCTGTGGGTTCCTATGGGTTCCTGTGGGTTCCTATGGGTTCCTATGGGTTCCTATGGGTTCCTATGGGTTCCTATGGGTTCCTATGGGTTCCTATGGGTTCCTATGGGTCTCTGTGGGTCTCTGTGGGTCTCTGTGGGTCTCTGTGGGTCTCTGTGGGTCTCTGTGGGTCTCTGTGGGTCTCTGTGGGTCTCTGTGGGTTCCTATGGGTTCCTATGGGTTCCTATGGGTTCCTATGGGTTCCTATGGGTTCCTATGGGTCCCCTTGGTTGCTATGGGTTTCTATGGGTCCCCTTGGTTCCTATGGGTTACTATGGGTTCCTATGGGGCTCTATGGGTTCCTATGGGTTCCTATGGGGCTCTGTGGGTTCCTATGTGTTCCTATGGGTTCCTATGGTTTCCTATGGGTTCCTATGGGTTCCTATGGGGCTCTGTGGGTTCCTATGGGTTCCTATGGGTTCTATGGGTTCCTATGGGTTCCTATGGGTCCCCTTGGTTCCTATGGGGCTCTATGGGTCCCCTTGGTTCCTATGGGTTCTATGGGTCCCCTTGGTTCCTATGGGTTCTATGGGTTCCCATGGGGCTCTATGGGTTCCTATGGGGCTCTGTGGGTTCCTATGGGTTCCTATGGGTTCCTATGGGTTCCTATGGGTTCTATGGGTTCCTATAGGTTCCTATGGGTCCCCTTGGTTCCTATGGGCTCTATGGGTCCCCTTGGTTCCTATGTGTTCCCATGGGTTCCTATGGGTTCCCATGGGGCTCAATGGGTTCCTATGGGGCTCTATGGGTCCCCTTGGTTCCTATGGGTTCTATGGGTCCCCTTGGTTCCTATGGGTTCTATGGGGCTCTGTGGGTTCCTATGGGGCTCTGTGGGTTCCTATGGGTTCCTATAGGTTCCTATGGGTCCCCTTGGTTCCTATGGGCTCTATGGGTCCCCTTGGTTCCTATGGGTTCCCATGGGGCTCTATGGGTTCCTATGGGGCTCCATGGGTCCCCTTGGTTCCTATGGGCTCTATGGGTTCCCATGGGGCTCTATGGGTTCCTATGGGGCTCTATGGGTCCCCTTGGTTCCTTGGATCCA